TGAGGGAGGACATGCAGATAGTTGGAGTCAGAGTAGAAGATGCAGAGAACAGGGAGAGATGGAAATCAATGATTTGCTGTGGCAACCCCTGAAAAAAAAAGGGACAAAGCCGAAAGAAAAAGAAAGAACCTAGTCAGGAAATCTACCGCCACTTCTCCTAAGCACTTCCATACTGGTATGTCAGTGGGACCAACTGACTTTCCACTCTTCAGCGCTTTTCTTACTTCATCCTTTCTAACCTGATCTACCGTCTTCCTAATAGTCTCTGATCCCTCATTTCTACTTTCCCTTTCATTTTCCTCATTCAACAACTCCTCAAAGTATTCGTTCCATCTTCTCAGCACATTTTCCTCACTTGTGATTATATTCCCATCTCTGTCCTTAATCAATCTCACCTGCTGCACATCCTTCCCTGTTTAATTTCTCTGTCTTGCCAATCTATACAACTCATTTTCTCCTTTCTTTGTGTCCAAACTCTCATACAACTCCTCATATGCCTTTTGTTTGGCCTTGGCCACTTCCCTCTTCACCTCCCTTGTCCTCTCTTTGTACTCCAGTCTGTTCTCTTCTGTTCTGTCACTGTCCCATCTCTTCTTTGCTAATCTCTTTCTCTGTACACTCTCCTGGACCTCATCATTCCACCACCAGGTCTCTTTGTCCTCCTTTCTCTGCCCAGAAGACAGACCTAGCACTTTCCTACCCGTCTCCCTAATCACTGCAGCTGTAATCTCCCAATCATCTAGGAATTTCTCAACACACCCAGAACTGCCCCTTCTTCCTTCCTGAAGTCTTCACAACATTTCTCTTTCCTTAATTTCCACCACTTGATCTTCTGCTCTGTCTTCACTCTTTTCCTTTTTTTTCACCTCCATCTTCATCTTGCACACTACTGTGATAGCGAAGTGAAGCTGATAAGACACCAAAAGGCTTTCCCAAGCACACACAGTCACATAGCCCCACACATTCAAAAAGAATTTTCTTCCAAATTCTTCACACCAACTTTCCAAATAACTCAAACACTTCTACTCACTGGAAACAATGGGAAACCTTCCAATTTACATTCTCATTTGGAACTCCAGATCTATCCATTCCTTTTGATCTACATGACCACCTGTGGTTGAATGGACTTTATGGCTCCGTCCACACCCTTGTGATAATACCCCGCTCAGGGGTATTATAACAAAAGGTACATAAAAGGTACATAAACATGTCCTCCAACACTGCAGAATCATGGAGCAGCAGCGCCACATAGTGGCAACTGCAGACATAACCATAATACAAGAACAATAATATGATTGGCCACAAGAGGCCTAGCCTCTCTCTTCCATTGGCCTACAAGATTTAAACACACACCCGGGAAGTCGAAAACCACTCCCCCCACACGGTATATAAGCGTAAACAACTAATGATTCTTTGGAAGTTATTCTTGAGAATGTATTCTTAGGAAGTTTTAGTTCTTGGA